GATAATCTCTATATTAGCATGGAGCCAAAGGTACAGATTAATAATAATCTTTCCTAATCTAAAGTACTTTCCTAAATTGGGTATCTTATAAAGGAAAATAAAAATTCCCAGGCAGTAATAAAATGGGACCAGAAACTCTAGGAGCTCTGGGAGTGGAGGGGTCACGACTATCTATTTCCCAGAAGTGGCCAGCAGTCTGCCAAATCTTTACACGGATTTACAGTTTCAAAAAGAACAATTTTTATGGATTCAGATCTCTGAGCTGTAGGAGCAAAGATAAGAATGTTATAGAAATGAATTTTCCTCCCTTAGGAAATTTTATTGAGTTTCTTGGGAATCCTGTGAGATTAGTAACTGTTCACCCTCAGGATTTTGCTTCCAGCATTATGGTCATTGACATTGTAATTAATTAATTAAGTTGCTGGAGGACGCATGTGCTTGCAGGAGAGAGAGAGGTAGAGAGAGCAAGAGAGAACCCTCTGTTTCTCCACCCTCTCGGTATTTGGGGCATGCACACACATCTGGCACATTTCACAAGTCACCAGGACTCAAACTGTTGGCTCCCATGTGGGATCCAGCTACCTAATGGATAGTGCTCAATCTCTGTGCTGTGGGGCCTGTTATTAACATTTTAAAATGTGGATTAAAAACTTCTGTGTATAGATGATGATAGTAGTCACAACCATCATTTATTAGTTTTTCTCTTATTCATAGTTTTGTGTTGCTACATTCTTTTAAATAAATTTTTTGCCATAGGGCAAATGTTCTTGCCAGAGAGAGACAGAGAAAAGAAAATGAGAAATCCCTCTCGTGGGGATGACCGTACTGCCATCTCTTCTCCAGTCTCCTCTCACACGTGCACTTATGCCCACTGTGATTTTTCAAGCTGCTGGGTGTGGGCCTCAAACTGTGGTCAGCCAGGTGGGAGTCCATGCCTTAACTACTACACCAGCTGTGCTGTCTAGTCCTACTCTCAAGTAGGTGATTTTTCAATGTGTGAGAAACACTCGTACCCAGTCATCTGAAAAACCAAGGGTTTAACATAAACACTTTAGGTATTTTCCTATTAAAAATCACTTTATGGGACCAGCAGATGACGAATTGGTTATGTTACTGGACTGCCACATAGTCGACTGTAGTTTGAGTCCGGACCCAGCGGCTTAAAATTCATGCTGGGTACATGTGTGTGTGTGTGTGCCCTAAATCCCAAGAGGAAAATGGAGGAGAAGGGATTGCGGCATCACCATCTCCCCGAGGGGGCGGGGGAGTGACTTCTTGCTTTCTGTCTGTGTGTCCAGCAAGGGCACATACTCTATAGCAAAAAAATCTCTCTTTAAAAAAAAAAAAAAAAGCTCATGCTGGGTGTGCACGCACACATGTGTATGTCCAAGATCTTGTGAGGAGGGTGGAAGAGATAAGATTATGGCATGGCCATCCCCCCTGGGGGGTGATTTCTCACTTTCTGTCTCTCCATCTCTCCAGCGAGTGCACATGTCCTATAGGAAAAATCTCTCTTTAAAAAAAATCACTTTACAAACATTAATTAAATTTTTTGCCAGACTCTCTGATAGGGATATGAGAAACACATAAGTGGATGAATTGAGAGTCCTATTATTTTGGAGTTTACATTTTAGTTAGATATATAAACAGATAATCTCTACCTTTTCTCCACTTAATCGTTTTACTCTTAAACACTTTTTCAATTATTTGACCCAATTAAAGATATGATAGGCATCATAAAATATATATAAGAATGGTCTGTTGCAAGAAATTGAGTGTAGAATATCTAAACTTGGCTTTAAAGTTACTGACTTTAAGAAGTATTTAATGTAGAACTTAGAGTAGTATTTAGAATTTTTTTAAACCTTGTTTTTTGACTTAAGTAACACTATTTAAATACAGGCTTACATAGTTGGACTAACAGAAATACCATTGTATCTGTTATGAACAGAAAAACAATCTATGCTCTCTTCCATTGAATATAAATAAAAATTTTATCAATATTTGGAAATTAGAAGAATCTAGCACAGTTTTGCTCAGTTTCCAAGAGCTAGATTTGATCTGTTCTTGGAAGGTCAGTAAGTGTTTTAAAATGTTAGGGAGGAGAAATAAAGATAACATCTGTTTTTCATTCCATTTAGGCAGTCACTGTTGACTTACTTGAAACATTTCTTACTAACTTTATGGATTAAAAAAGTAATATTTGCATATAAGATTACATCTGATAGCTTTTTTTTAGGCAGGTCGACGGCCAGCTATTGCTCATGTATACATGTTTTTGTTTTTGTGTTTTTGGGGAGAGAATTTTGCTATGTAGGGTACGTGCACTTGCCAGAGAAGCAGAGAGACAGAAAGCAAGAAATCATTCCCTGGGGGGGATGGCCACACCACAGTTCCTTCTCAAGAGTTTGGACATGCATGCCCATACACGGGTCTGAGTTTGTAGCTACTGAGTCTGGAACTCAAACTGCGATTGGCCGTGTGGATGTCCAACAACATAACCGCTATGCCATTTGCTGGTCCCAGTGTTTTTAATACCAAAATAACATTTCTGATGGCAAATTTGCCTAGCTGTGTGGCCACTTTATTGTTTTTTAAGATTATTTATTTTTATCATTATTATTATTTTTTAAAATTTGCTACAGGGAATGTGCATTCATGAGAGAGAGAGAGAGAATGAGAAAGCAAGTCACCACTTTTAGGACTTGAACCATGGTCAGCCATGAGGAAGTCTGGCCCCTTAACCACCATGCCGCCTGCTGGCCCCCATAGCCACTTTAAGTGGTAGAAATGCAATAGTGTAGTTAGAGACCTGAACACTGATACTTTGGAAGGCCTACTCTGTCTTCCAGAGCTGAAAGTGAGTGTAATTGCTGCAGTGTGTAACTGAGATTGAGTTTAATAAATAATGCCATTGGGTAGTTGGAAAGAGTAGGTATATCCTAGTTTCTTGAGCTTAATTGTAAAGAAGGTGTCATCAACTCAGTACTTCTATGTGGTTGTAACCTTAAAGGAGTGAGAGATTAATTGAGATCCCTCTTACCTGTTTTTTATTATTGTTGCTTTGACAAAAACAATGAAATAAAAATGCTAAGTGGAAAACGTCCTAAAAATGGCATCAGCTCTATTTACAAGCTCTGTGGCCTTATGCCAGTGTTTCCTTAGGTATAAAAAAGGCAAAGCACTCAAGATAAAATAATATGTTATAAAACAAAATGTGTGATAAAGTAATATATATACATGAAGGTACATTGTAATGTAACAGATGTACAGACAAACTTAAGGTAATGGTAATTAATATATTTTTAATTTTGACTCAGTTGCTTATTAGAAGAGTTGCATGCTGAATTTGAAGTTGCCAGGAGGTTTAAAAGAAAGAGTAATAAGAGATAGGAGGAAAAGAGATCGAATATGAGCTTATAATGAATATTTGAAATTCTTATTAAATCATCATGTAATTTTGTCAAAGCATCATAACAGGAGTAACTAAGATGGCTCTTGGATTTTGGTACAACACGCACTTGGATTTGTCATTTTTATGAACATTTGAAGGATAAGTACATATCTCATCCTCTTGTTTCTCTTTGACTTTAAACCTGAAGGTTATGAATACTGATGGCACTGGGAGGCGAGTACTAGTGGAAGATAAAATTCCTCACATATTTGGGTTTACTTTGTTGGGTGACTATGTTTACTGGACTGACTGGCAGAGGCGCAGCATCGAACGAGTGCACAAACGGAGTGCGGAGAGAGAGGTCATCATAGACCAGCTGCCTGACCTCATGGGTCTAAAGGCCACAAGTGTTCATCGAATCACTGGTAAATATTTCCAGAATTCTCTTGAAATGGAAACGAAAAATGAGGAAAGGAGGAGATAGCAACCTGTAAAGCAGCGGTCTAAATTGCTCGCGTTTTGAAGCACTGTAGAAATCATTGTTAGCACTATTTTTACTAGAAGGGCCTTTTAAAGTTTTGGGTTAGTTTTCAGGCTACATAGTTTGGACTGAAGGGCTAAATATGTACAAACATTCGCACACCTTCATTGAAAGAATTCAGCCTTATTGTATAAATAAGGTACCTTATTTTAAAGCTTACTGTGGGCAAAAGGAAAGTATTTTACTGTACCTTTACTCCCTATTCATGTTCATATTGCTGTTTATGAGATTAGAGTGGAAATTCTAGATGGGTGGCAGACATAATCTCAGGTCTTTGGAACCAAATGCTTAGTACTTTAAGCCTTAGTACTTGATTGTGTTGATATATGTCCTTCTGTTTCCTTTTGTAATTTATCTCTTAGGTTCTAACCCCTGTGCTGAGGAAAATGGAGGGTGTAGCCATCTCTGCCTTTACAGACCTCAGGGGCTTCGCTGCGCCTGCCCCATTGGCTTTGAACTCATCAGTGACATGAAGACGTGTATTGTCCCAGAGGCTTTCCTTTTGTTTTCCCGGAGAGCAGATATCAGACGAATTTCTTTGGAGACAAACAATAATAATGTGGCCATTCCGCTAACTGGAGTCAAAGAAGCTTCAGCTTTAGATTTTGATGTGACAGACAACCGGATTTATTGGACTGATATATCACTCAAGGTTAGTGAAAGACCTGGAGTGTTCAAGATGGGACCAGCAGTTAGCATAATGGCTATGTCACATAGTTGACCGCGGTTTAAGTCCTGGACCCAGTGGCTTAAACTCACGCCAGGCACATGTATGTGCGTGCCCAAGATCCCAAGAGGAGAATGGAGGACAAGGGATTGTGGTATGGCCATCCCCCCCTGGGGGGTGATTTCTCGCATTCTGTCTCTCTCTTTCTGGTGAGCACTTGCGCCCTATAGCAAAAAACCTCTCCAAAAAAATAAAGAATTTCTGACTTGTCATGCTATGACCTCCTTCCTCATTGCTTGATAGGCAAAGTTCAACAAAAATCTTTAACTTTTTAAGGAAAGTGACTGGAAAAGCCCATTCAGTATTTTATTACATGCATTTTAGTACACAATACTTTGCTAGAATGTTCTAAATCTGCAAGACATAATCTTTCTTTATTTTGTTTGATTTGAAGTGACGAATGGCATTTTCTGTAATTAGCTAGGTAAGCAGTGGTATGCTTCACATAAAATGTTCCATAGAGGCTCGCTTGATTTATGTTAGATTAAACTTTGGAGCCTGACTGAGGCAGAAAATGTCAATTATGAGTTATAGGATATCTTTATTTTCTTTTTCTAGGATAAATACTGAAAAGCATGTGGGGATAGTGAGAAAGGAATGACCTGACCAGTAAATCTAAACAATAATCTTTTCTTCTTCCAGATTGTTTTGGTCTTGTTTTAGATAACTTGTCTGAACTTTTGTCTGATATGCAAAAAATATGAGGTATTTGGAGCCAGAGTTGGATTTTAATGGTATTCAATAAAATCTATTAAGTGAATGGAAACATGAAGGAAATAAATAAATCTTGTCTTTTATAACCTGGCCTTTTAAATGTCCTCAGGTTGAAAAAGAGACAGTGCCTATCTTACAAGGCTGCTGTGAGTATTATATGAGAACACCTTTGGACATAAATACTTAGAGCGGTATTAGCAACTATTGGGGCCAGCAGGTGGCGTGGTGGTTAAGGATGCTGGACTTCCATGGGGCTAACCACAGTTTGAGTCCCAGACCTAGTGGCTCCCAGAGGCTTTCCTTTTGTTTTCCCGGAGAGCAGATATCAGACGAATTTCTTTGGAGACAAACAATAATAATGTGGCCATTCCGCTAACTGGAGTCAAAGAAGCTTCAGCTTTAGATTTTGATGTGACAGACAACCGGATTTATTGGACTGATATATCACTCAAGGTTAGTGAAAGACCTGGAGTGTTCAAGATGGGACCAGCAGTTAGCATAATGGCTATGTCACATAGTTGACCGCGGTTTAAGTCCTGGACCCAGTGGCTTAAACTCACGCCAGGCACATGTATGTGCGTGCCCAAGATCCCAAGAGGAGAATGGAGGACAAGGGATTGTGGTATGGCCATCCCCCCCTGGGGGGTGATTTCTCGCATTCTGTCTCTCTCTTTCTGGTGAGCACTTGCGCCCTATAGCAAAAAACCTCTCCAAAAAAATAAAGAATTTCTGACTTGTCATGCTATGACCTCCTTCCTCATTGCTTGATAGGCAAAGTTCAACAAAAATCTTTAACTTTTTAAGGAAAGTGACTGGAAAAGCCCATTCAGTATTTTATTACATGCATTTTAGTACACAATACTTTGCTAGAATGTTCTAAATCTGCAAGACATAATCTTTCTTTATTTTGTTTGATTTGAAGTGACGAATGGCATTTTCTGTAATTAGCTAGGTAAGCAGTGGTATGCTTCACATAAAATGTTCCATAGAGGCTCGCTTGATTTATGTTAGATTAAACTTTGGAGCCTGACTGAGGCAGAAAATGTCAATTATGAGTTATAGGATATCTTTATTTTCTTTTTCTAGGATAAATACTGAAAAGCATGTGGGGATAGTGAGAAAGGAATGACCTGACCAGTAAATCTAAACAATAATCTTTTCTTCTTCCAGATTGTTTTGGTCTTGTTTTAGATAACTTGTCTGAACTTTTGTCTGATATGCAAAAAATATGAGGTATTTGGAGCCAGAGTTGGATTTTAATGGTATTCAATAAAATCTATTAAGTGAATGGAAACATGAAGGAAATAAATAAATCTTGTCTTTTATAACCTGGCCTTTTAAATGTCCTCAGGTTGAAAAAGAGACAGTGCCTATCTTACAAGGCTGCTGTGAGTATTATATGAGAACACCTTTGGACATAAATACTTAGAGCGGTATTAGCAACTATTGGGGCCAGCAGGTGGCGTGGTGGTTAAGGATGCTGGACTTCCATGGGGCTAACCACAGTTTGAGTCCCAGACCTAGTGGCTTGCTTTCTTACTTTCTCACTCACTCACTCACTCTCTCTGCTCTTCTCTGGTCAAATTTAAAAAATAAATAAAGTTAAGTAAAATGATTCTTTGAAAAAAGAATTAGCAACTACTAATTTTGATTATGGTTGTTTTCTTTTTTTCTTTTTCTTTTTTTTATTTTGGAGAGACTTTTGCTATAGGCACATGCACTTGCCGGAGAGACAGACAGAAAGTGAGAAATTGCCCCCAACGGGGTAGCCACACCACAATCTCTTTTCCTCCATTCTCTTCTCGGAATTTTGGGCATGCACATATGCATACACTTCTGGCATGAGTTTTAAAACACCAGGTCCAGGACTTGAACCACGGTTGACTACGTGGGAGTCCAGCAACATAATCATTATGCCATCTGCTGGTCCTGTTTGTTGTAAATTTTATGGGATTCAAAGCTATAGTGGTAATAATATGATAATGATTATAGTGATTTATTTTTATTATTATTAGAGGGTGATTGTGCCTGCTGAAGGGGTGAGGGAGGGAGAGAAGGAGAGAAAGAAAGAAAGGAGAAGCCCTCCTACTCAGGGGGATGTGGCTATGCCACAGTCACCTCTCTTCCACTCTCATCAGAACCCTGGGCATGCACACACATGTACCTAGTGTGTCTCAAGCCACAGGGACTGCGATCTGAACTTGGTCAGCCATGTAGACTCCAGTTCCCAATGCATAGTGCTTAACCACCATGCCACAGGGCAGGCCGTATTTTCATTTTCTTATAAGGTTATTGAGATTGTTGATTGACACAATGACTTGATATACTCTCAAGTACCTTTATTTTAAATTTAAGTTTATTTTTATTTCTTTCATGAGATAGGGAAACAGAAAGAAAGACATTCTCAACAGTGTCTTACTCCGCCCTCCTGTATCTGTGCTGCGCCAGCCAGATAATGTGTGCGTATACATTCCTGACAGGCATAGGAGACTTTGGGACATGAACTTGGCATCTTCCCATGTGGACTCCACGTTGCAAAGCTTTGCATTGCTACTGTGCCACCGTGACTGACCTCGAGTACTTTTAGAAAGCTGACTACCAGTTAAGGATCTACAGCAACCTGGTCATATTCTTTTCCTTTGATTACTAATAAATTTTAGAAGAAAGGTCATTCCATGGTTGTCTTACATAGTAGAATAAATGTTTAGTTCTTACGAGACTTAAAATTTTCTCCTTGAATTGGTAGTAAAACTCGAGGTGACAGTTGCATTTATTAGAGATCGATGTTAAGTTTACTTAGAAATTATATCAATTTCATTATGGAACAGTGTGCCTCTTGGTGTTTCTGGATCCCTCCTCCCTCAGCAAAAAGTAAACTAAACCTTTGTGGATAGTGTTTTATATTTGTCATGTGACTTGTTTGTTAATTTTATTTTGCAGACCATCAGCAGAGCCTTCATGAATGGCAGTGCACTGGAACATGTGGTAGAATTCGGCTTAGATTATCCAGAAGGCATGGCAGTAGACTGGCTTGGGAAGAACTTGTACTGGGCAGACACGGGGACGAATCGAATCGAGGTGTCAAAGTTGGATGGGCAGCATCGACAAGTTCTGGTGTGGAAAGATCTAGATAGCCCAAGAGCTCTAGCGTTGGACCCTGCCGAAGGGTAAACAGCTTTGCTCTGCATTCTTGGTGACTGCCTTAAAAATTTGGAGAAATATAACCTAGTTACTGATTATAGTCTTGATGTACTAGATAGTGTTTATGAGGAATCTGAAACTAAATATAGATAGGCTTTATTTTAAAACCATTAATTGAGATTTAGTGATTAAGAATGAATAATATTAGCTAATTTTACTTTTGTATTACCATTGGGTAAAGAAAGAATGCAATGAATTAGTAATCAAATATTACTGATTGATATTAATTTTATTTATTTTATTTTTAAGAATTATTTAACGTATTATTAATTAGACCAGAGAGAGAGAGAGAAGAAAAGTGAGAAAGCAAGCTGCCAGGTCTGGAATTTGAACCGTGGTTGGCCATGTGCGAGTCTAGCACCTTAACCACCACACCATTTGCTGGTACCACTGATGGATATTTATATACTGAATGAATAGCTTTTTTTTTAGTATTATCAACCCATATTTGCTCCCCAGTTATACTGGATTCTAACCCCATTGTAGTAAACTCACTGAAATAATACTGTGTGCTAAGAAACGACTGCATTAAAGAAACTCCATTTTAGAATATTCAGTAATTCACAATGGGCAGTTAGTTTGATCACTATTATAAACTTGGAGAAATATTGATGTTCTGAGACAGATGAAACTGTTTACAGAATGGCATGCTTTTCAAGGGAAGGTGATGTGTCTTATAAGAGTCAGCAAGTGTTTAAAAGTCAACAGTAAGACGTATGAAATTTGAAGGAAAATTCCACTTTTAAAAGAAGTCAACAGTGTGAACTTAATAAACATATTTACTATAACTGTAATTAAAAATGGTTTTCCCGAAGTCACCATATTAATTCCATGATTAGCTAGTTGTCCATCCAATTAGAAAACCATCTCAAAGGTAGCTTCTTTACACTCATGTGTTGTGAAGGGATTATGGTCATCTTTGCTCTGAGCATTAGTTGCTAGACAGATAAATTTAGTTATTGGGGCTAAACTAACAGGTTAGTTAGAACAGGTTACTGGTGGCAAGTGTGAAATTTCTATCACAGTTGTTTCTCTTTGGTTCTTATGATGTGCACATGCTTGTCAGCTGACAAGTGCAAATGCAAACAAAGCCTGGGGTGACTTTAATTTTCAGGAAAGGATGTTCATACATTGCTACCCACTCAGTCAGCTAAAAGGGTGATGAGTGAATGTCTGTCCAGAGATACTTCACAATAGCTGGCACGTGGCATACTTTCCTAATCCCAGTATACAGAATATTTTGAGAATCAGCACTTTACTAGGTTTTTGTTGTTGTTGGTTTATTTCTTCTTTGAGCACATGTGAGGGAAAGACAGGCAGCAGTTCCAGCACAGTCCTGACACTGCATCCACCCCTCTTCTTCGGCTAGCCCTGGATGATGGGCACGTGCATGCCTTGTGTATGCAGAGAGGCTCCCAAACTTGCACTGAAAGGCCATCTGGCTAAGAATTAGGTTCTCATTCTAGTTCTGCCATGTAACTGGCTCAGAGACATTCTACAACTCATTCACATTCCTTTTAATGCTTGGATCTCCTTATCTGTAAAAAGCCTATGCCGTAGGGTTGCCCAACGATTCTAGTAAAAAAAACCTCAAAAAAGTGGAAAACAGAGGAATATTCTAAAATGTCACAGGGATGGTAATAGCGTTCATTGCCCAGCTGACATACTGAAGAGTTATATAGTATGCTCCTTTGCACCTTGTGACCAAATGCATTTTCAAGTTTTGGTTTTGACTTCAATTAAAGGCTCAGTTTTATTTTGACATCTGATATACTTCTGCAACATGTTTATGAATAAGGTCGTTGATTACACAGGTTAAAAAGTAAGTTGGGAACCAGCAGTTAGCGTAATGGCTATGTCGCTGGACTCCCACGTAGTCGACCGTGGTTTGCGTCCCGGACCCGGTGGCTTAAAACTCACGCCGGGTGCATGTGCGTGCGTGCCCAGGATCCCGAGAGGAGAATGGAGGAGAAGGGATTGCGGCGTGACCATCCCCCCTGGGGGATGATTTCTCGCTTTCTGTCTCTGTCTCTCTCTCTCTGTCTGTCTGGCGAGCGCACACGCCCTATAGCGAAAAACCTCTCCAAAAAAAAAAAAAGTAAGTTCAACTATTTAAAAACTCTAGTTACTTATGTCCAGAAATATATAGAGATATTTTATTCAGAAGTGTACCAGATTCTGAGACCATAGTTTTGGTCCTTAGCTGTTTTTGTGAATATTAGTTTTATAAATACCATTGCTGCAATAAAGAAACCATTGGTTTGGTTCCAGTTCCTAGGTTTGGATGGAACATGTTCATTGGAAAGACTAAGGAAAACTGACTCACTTCCTTTTTGGGATATGAGAAAAATATTTAGTTGAAAGTGCCAAAATAATTGAAAGAATCTAACTGATTTTGTTTTATCCATTTTCTTTCTTTACACATATTTTCTTTACATTTACTTAAAATTACCATGCATGTGAGTGGCCTTTTCTCCCAGATAATCAAAGTGTTAAATATCCATTGTTTTGAATTTAGATTTATGTATTGGACTGAATGGGGTGGAAAACCTAAGATAGACCGAGCTGCTATGGATGGAAGTGAACGTACTACATTAGTTCCAAATGTGGGGCGGGCAAATGGTCTGACTATTGACTATGCTAAAAGGAGGCTTTATTGGACAGACCTGGACACCAACTTAATAGAGTCATCAAATATGCTTGGTAAGCTTTCCTACTTAACTGCCTTTTTTCCTTCTTTAAAATCAGGTTCTAACCATGTCAGGATCCTCTCGTCTCAACCTCCCATCTGGTGTTGTACTGGCACGCCTAGCCCTTTGTTAGATAGGACCTCACCTCGTTTTTTTCAAGCCACCAGAGCCAGGATTCAAAGCATGGTCAGTCATAAGTGATCTGGCTTTCTATACAGGATACTTAGCTTCTGTGCTATGGGGCTGCTCTAGGTACTTGGAGTAATACCTCTTTACTCATGTAAAGATGCTGTCGTTAGGCTTATAGTGAAGTCTGTAACTCCCTAGATACCACTGAAGTGACTGTTCGTAGTAAAGTAAAATATATATAGTTTCATCTTTTTTGAATGGCAGAATCTCACCACACTGTGTTACTCCCTGCAGCCTCCCAGCCAGCCAGGGTCAGAGGTGTATGTGAGCATGCCTGTCATGTTCAGATTGATCTGGGTTCTGAACCTGGGCCTCCCATGTGGCTCAAGTATTATGCAACCTGTGCCAGTGCACTTGGGCCATATGTTCCCATCTTTTTATGGAAAGAAGAGTTGAATGTAGGCCCTTACATAGAGGAAACAACACCATAGTAAAATTTGGGCCATTTTTGGAGGTTTAAACAAACTTAGTGATTTATAATAGGAATATAAGTTACAGGCATGGTGAGAATGCAGATGTATTGATTTCAAGAAACTGGTATGGTTTTAGAATTGCCTTTAAATGAATTGTTCTATTTTAAATTGCTTACAAATGTAATGTTTTACTCTTCTTTTTTTTCCAACAAGACACTTGTATCCTTACATTATTGCATTTCTCTGCTTCTTCCCTGTCTACTGCCTTTCTGAAAATAGGACTCAACCGTGAAGTTATAGCAGATGACTTGCCTCATCCTTTTGGCTTAACTCAGTACCAAGATTACATCTACTGGACAGACTGGAGCCGACGCAGCATTGAGCGTGCCAACAAAACCAGTGGCCAAAACCGCACCATCATTCAGGGCCATTTGGATTATGTGATGGACATCCTGGTCTTCCACTCCTCTCGGCAGGCAGGGTGGAATGAGTGCGCTTCCAGCAACGGCCACTGCTCCCACCTCTGCTTGGCTGTGCCAGTTGGAGGTTTTGTGTGTGGTTGCCCTGCCCACTACTCACTTAATGCCGACAACAGGACTTGTAGTGGTGAGTTGCATTTCCCTCAAGCATGCTAGAATCAAAAGAAAGCAGCATTTGGAAAGTGCTTTAGTCATGTTTGTTCTTTTTTTTTTTTTTTTTCTTAAGTTTTTTTCCGTAGGGTATACATAACTTGTTAGAGAGACATTGAGAGGGAGGGAGAGTGAGAAATTAAACTCCAGGAGAGATGGCCACACTGCAATCACTTCTTCTCCATTCTCTTCCTGGGATATTGTACACCCACACACAGAAACTCAGCATGATTTTCAAGCCATCAGGTCTGGGACTAGAACCATGGTCGGCCATGTGGGAGTCTAGCACCTTAACTGCCACGCCAACTACAGGCCCCAGTCATGTTCTTTCTGTGATATATAAGGCAGGGGAGATTGAGAGTTGATCATTTGTTTAATTTAAAGGGAGCAAGTGGAAAAATAAACTTTTGTTCCTTATGTGTTTGATGATAGCAATTTGATATTAAAGAAAAATTAAAACTTTTACCCTTGGGCATTAAATATTTAGTTAAAAATTTGCATGGCATTATTGAGAGACAAAGTTACGGGTACTATACCTAATTTATATATGTTCACTTTAAGGAAAGAGCAGTATGAATAATACAACAAAGAAAAGTCTCAAAACATATCCTCCTTGACTTTTTTTTTTTTTTTTTGGACAGGTTTTGCTGTAGGGCACGTGTGCTCTCCAGATAGACAGGGAGACAGAAAACGAGAAATCACCCCCCAGGGGGGATGGCCACGCTGCAATCCCTTCTCCTCCATTCTCTCGGGATCTTGGGCACGCACACACACACGCCCGGCATGAGTTTTAAGCCACCGGGTCCAGGATGCGAACCACTGTCAACCACATGGGAGTCCAGCGACATAGCCATTATACTAACTGCTGGTCCCTCCTCTTTGACTTTTGAATGCATAGAATAGGACAAACAAAATGTTTTAATATAAGAGACCAGGCAAAAAACATGTTGGGAGAGCATTTAACCCCAAGTTAAACAGTAGTTGATGGTGGGGAACGAGAGCACTCATGCTCTAATTCAGTGGTTTAGTGTCAGTTGCTACTGAACTCCAGCTGGTAGGACCAGTTTTCTCATCCAGTTATGAATCCAGGTTTTTAGGTTTTTGTTTGTTCGTTTTGGCTAAAGTATCTCTTGGTATTTTAAAAAATGTTTAAACACATATATACAATGCTGAAAATAAAGTGTGTAACAAAACACTATTGCCTAGGGGAAATCTGGGTTATGGTTTAAATATATAGGAAAGCCCATGTCTTGGTGGATAGACAAGAACAAATTAGATTATATAATCAAAACATAGAGATTAGATCAGAAAGGGGGTAGAGAAAAAATCACCTCCCCAGAGGAGATGGCCACTCTGCTGTCCCTTCTCCTTCATTCTCCTCTTGGAAGTTTGGGCATGCATACACATGCACTCAATGTTTTTCAAGCCACTGGGTCCAGGATCTAGCTGCCTTAACATCCACACCACCTGCCAGCCCATATTTAGGCTTTTAAATGGCATAGTCTATGCCACTTAAAGTTCTGCCTGTCTCATAAATAAGTCAAAGTATCAGATTGCTCTTAGAAATTCTGAGCCAGTTAATTGTAATCTTTCCTGCCTTTGAGTGTACTTTTGGGACAAGCGTTCTTCTGGACCCTTATCTGGAGCCACATTTGGCTTTATTTGATCCCATATTTCCGGAACAAGATTCACACCTTTAACAATCTTATTGAAGGGAACCAAATATATATTTGATTAATTCTCAGGCAGGAAGATTTCAGATATAAAACTCTTTTTCTAAATTTCATTGTATGTGTGAGATGAGGGATCTTCAGAAAGTTCATACAGAATGCAGTGTTATGGGAACCAGCAGTTAGCGTAATGGCTATGTCGCTGAACTCCCATGTAGTCGACCGCGGTTCGCATCCCAGACCCGGTAGCTTAAACTCACGCCGGGCACGTGTGTGTGCGCGTGCCCAAGATCCCGAGAGAAGAATGGAGGAGAAGGGATGGCAGCGTGGCCATCCCCCCTGGGGGAGTGATTTCTCGCTTTCTATCTCTCTGTCTCTCTCTGTGTTTCTGGTGAGCGCATGCGCCTTATAGCAAAAACCTCTTCTAAATAAATAAATAAATAAATAAATAAACTCAGTGTTATGAACAAATGGCATGGATGTCAGCATTTTTCCTTTTCTGGCACCAAAATAAAGTCATATTTTCATTCCACTTTTCACCAACTTTTTGAAAGTCCTTTGTCCAAGTAGTGCTTATTCTGTTGGAAACTTTTAGAGCTTTCTTTTGCTGTTTTTCTTTCATTTACTGAGAAAGTAGTACTGCCAAAATAACAATTCTTTAAAAAAGGAAAAAAGATGGCAGAGTTTTTAGCTGCCATATTCTGTGTGATGTTTGTTCTTACTACTTGAGGCATAGACTCTATCAAAATTGTTAAAAGTTGTTAAATCAGTATGTGACAGATTCCAGATAGTGGAGATTTCTAGTAGAATCCTTGAGATATCTTCTAAATTTTCCAAGCTTTTAACAAAAGAAGAACTGAAATAATTTTAGTATTACAAATACCAGATTTTTTTGAGTACCGATGAGTTCCTTTGGGATTTAAGCCAATATACATTTGAGTGTAAAATGTAAAATAAGGCCAGGAACCACAAATAATAGAGCTGTGAAGAATGGGACCTACAGCAAGGAGTCCAGGCTTGGCTTATTTATTTTTCATATCCCTGAGAAGTACAGGATTCTGGAGTTAAGTGATGACTGAGCACCAAGAGAATAGAACATCATTATGGAACATACATGCATACCCTTCTTTTTTTTTTAATGAGAATTTAAAAATGCTTTTGGACCTTGAAGTTGTCGGTAGCTCTCTCAAATGTCATTCTTTTCTAGACTTTTTTTGGTGTGTTAAAGATGGCTTCCTAGTGGAGCCAGCAGATTGTGTAATGATTATGTCACTGGACTCCTACCTTCAACCATGGTTCAAATCCCCGACCTGGCAGTTTAAAACTCAAGCTGGGTGTGTGTGCGTGGGTCCCCAAAATCCCAAGAAGACAGTGAGAGAAGGGATTGCGGCGTGTCCATATCCCTTGGGGGGTGATTGTTTGCTTTCTGTCTGTCTGTCTCTCTGGTGAGTGCATGTGCCCTATAGCAAAAATCTATCTCTAAAAAAAAAAAGATGGCTACCTAGTCACGAGCCTAGTTGGGAAGGGGAACTGTTTTCTCTGTTGCGTTTTCCCATTTTGTGACTTTAGGGCATCAACCTGGCATCAAAACAGGATTTTAAAAAATTAGTTTGTTAATGTGTTTCTTCCATGAGCAAGAGAGACAGAGCAATATAGAGCCAACACTCCCAACTGGGTCTTGATGCCAGTACCCACCCCATGCCCAGCCTCACCCAGCCAGGATCTAGGACTTTTGGATGGGAACCTGGTACCTCCTCATCTGGCTCAGCCTTACAGAGCATTGTGTTTTACCTTTGTTTCACAGTTGGGCTTCAAAGCAGAACATTTTTAAATGAAAATATAAGTGTAACTATAAAATATAAAGTTTTTTTTTTAAATTAGGGTTAGAATAATAAGTGTGAGCCATTCCCATGGTACCTGGTGTTGCTGCAGATATCGGAGACCCTCGGTGTGAGGAGTCTTTGTGGCCCTGGGTGAGCCTGGGCCCGAGCAGGGATGGGACTGGGTAGGTGGCACATGCCCAGGGGCTCCAGCTTCCTAGTGGTGCCCCTCACAGAACGATGCCCCCATCTGGATGCTGGTACAGCACATCCACCAGCAGCAGGCTGAGCATGCATAGACCTTCTGCTGACTGGAGGAGTGGCCATGCTGGGCTAGCTGATGGGAGCACCAGAGCTAACAGGGCAGGAGGACAAGGTGCAGGTGCACCAGCTGAAGATGAAGGTAATTAAAACCAAGTAGGCAATCAGCGAGGTTCTCCAGGGTTTGATGTGGACTCTGCCGAGTGATGGTGGCTACTAGGGACATGCTGAAGGAGATAGGAACTTGGGACAGATGGCACCCAGCCCAGCCCTGACGGCCAGCTGGCCAGGGTCATGCCCTGCTGGGTGAACTCCCACAAAAAAGACGCCTCTTCTGAAAGAAAGAAGAAAGAAAAGAATGTAAAGCATTTTTAATTATTGGTGCTTTGGTAACTTTTATAGCTACTTCCTCTTCCTGTAGTCATCACATGCAAAGCAAAATAAAGTCTCCCTCTGTATTCTGTGAAGGTTTACTTCTTTTTGGTAACAACTTTATTACTGCCACCACGGTAATAATAAATAATAACTTTTTACTCTACATTTATATGGTACCATTTTTAAAAATATTTTTACGTATAATGTAAAATTCTTAGAGAAATTCAATGAGAGGGAGAAGCTGCCATAAACATTATTTTACAGTTAATTAAACTTTGACCCAGAGAGGTTCAGTTAAGATCAAGTGACTTAGTTAAGATCAAATGACTAGGGCAGTGAGAAGACTGAGAGTGAAACCAGTTTCGAGGTTTCTGCTTTGACCTGTGGCGGCTCAGGCCTCCTGCCACCCACCACACACAAGAAAGTCAAGGAGAACCAGGGTTTTTGACTTAGTAGACTATGAGAAGTTTATATATTAGATTGGTGCAAAGGTGATACGGTTTTGTATTGTTGAAATTTGCTGTTTGATATTGGATACCTTCTTAAATGTGGTTATGTTATCATTTAATGCACATTTCTTTGTTTTTGTGTTTTTTTTTTTGCTGGTGACTTACTGCTGTTTATATGTGTTTTATACTATGGAAATGATGTTAGACAAGCAAAGTTGAGTGATTTTCTTATTTGAGTTCAAAATGGGTCATAAAGCAGAGGAGACAATGTGTAACACCAACAACACACTGGCCCAGGAATTGCTAGTGAATGTACAGTGCAGCGGTGGTTCAAGAGGTTTTGCAAAGGAGTTGAGAACTTTGAAGATGAGTGTAGTGGCTGGCCATTGAAAGTTGACAGTGACCAAATGAGAGCATCTTTAAAGCCGACCCTCTGATCCTCTTAGAACTACACGAGAAGCTGCTAAAGAACTTGGTATGGACCATTCTGTGTTCATTGAGCATTTGAAGTGAATTGGAGAGGTGCAAAGCCTTGATAAGTGGGTGCCTTGTGAGCTGGCCAAAATTGAAAAAAATCATTTTGAAATGTCTTCTCGTGTTACTCTACGCAACAACAATGAACTATTTCTCGATTGGATTGTGACATGCAAAAAAAGTGGATTTTATGTGACAACCACTGATGACCAGCTCAATGGTTAGACTGAGAGGAGCTCCAAAGCACTCCACAAAGTCAAACTTGCACCAAAAAAAGGTTATGGTCACTATTTGGTGGGGTCTGATCCACTACAGCTTTCTGAATCCCAACAAAACCATTACATCTGAGAAGTATGTTCAGCAAGTTGATGAGATGCACCGACAACTGCAACACCCTTAGCCAACATTGGTCAGCAGAAAGGGCCCAGTTTTCCTCCTCGACACCCACCTCATGTCACACATCCAGCACTTTCAAAGCTGAACCAATTGGGCTTACAGAGTTTTGCCTCATCCACCGCGTTCATCAACTGACTACCACTTCTTCAAACAACTCAGTGACTTTTTGTAGGAAAAACGCTTCCACAACCAGTAGGGTGCCTAAAGTGCTTTCAAAGAGTTCATCGAATCCCGAATCAAGGATTTTTATGCCACAGGAATAAAACTCTTTCTTATTGGCAAAAATGTGTTGTTCGTAATGGTTCCTATTTCGATGAATAAAGATGTGTTTGCCTAGTTATAATGATTTAAAAGGTCATGGTCTGAAACTGCAGTTCCTTTTGCACCAACCTAATACCTTTAGCAAATGCCTCATTGGTATCAAGCCTCCTGTGGAATTTCTGTGGACGAGGTGGAGAAAACAGGCTAGGTGACTGTGCCATTGGATAAATTCATAACCAGAGAGTCTGAGGCATGCCACAGGTTCTGTTTTCAACCTAACCTGTTCAACATCTAAGTCTATTTTATATGAGATAAATGCAGTAGGCCAAATCTTAAGGTGATACAGGACTTAGCATAATTGTAATTCAAATTTCATCTTTTCTTTTTTTAAGCTCCTACCACTTTCCTGCTCTTCAGTCAGAAGAGTGCCATCAACCGAATGGTAATTGATGAACAGCAGAGCCCTGACATCATCCTTCCTATCCATAGCCTTCGGAATGTCCGGGCCATTGACTATGACCCACTGGACAAGCAACTGTATTGGATTGACTCCCGACAAAACATGATCCGGAAGGCACAGGAAGATGGCAGCCAGGTGATTTAGAGCTCCATTTAAATTCCATTTCTTATGACTAGTAACTTGACCAGCCAACTATCCTATCTAATTTAAGTCTTGACTCTGATCAAGACAGAGTGAGAGAGAGAGAGAATGTGTATGTTTGGGGCAGGGGGGGAGAAAGAGAGAATCTGAAATTCTGGACCTAGAAGCTTTTTTCCACTGATGATCTCTTCTTTGAGTATTGCTTGATAATACTAGGATGAAAATCATACCGTGACAACGTAGGGTCATATATCTGTAATGACTTTGTGACTGCTACCCACATCTGATTGTATAGTCTTTTTCATTGTCGTTTTATTGTGTGGAGTGTAAGATGTTTTAAAATCAAATAGGTCTTAATTCTGATCCCAACTCTGTTGCTCACTAGGATTCTTAGGAGCTTCGTTAGCTGAAAAGAATGCAAAGCTCATAGTCCATACTTGTTGCATAGTAGGGATTCAATAAATATGTTCCATTACTAACTATATTTTGAAAGTTTAGAGGTTTGGACACAAAACACAATCTCAGTAAAATTAGAATTATATGGGTTGTGTAACCGACCCAGTGATCTTTTTAGTAAATATTTCTCACTGACTATGGCGTGAGAGTGAGGATATTATCAGTAATTCTTTCTGTGCTTACATACCAGCCACGGAGTTACATCCTACTCTCCATATTAATTTGCTCATTTTCTGTGGCCAAGCAGTGGTGAGACTGGGGTTACAATATGTATTGATTTGTTGTCTTCTTTAATAGCAGTGATGTTAAATTAGATTTTGGAGATTGAAATTTAGGGAGATTAGATTAACTGTTTGCTCTGTCTTATGATAAAGAGGAAGAAGGTAGTTTATTTAGGTCTGTGGAGTGATAATTCAGGAATTTCATCATAAATGTGTATATGTCATTCGCACTTTGCACTACATAAGCCAAGAATGGTGAGTTGATTACTAGTGGATAAAATGATAGTTATTGTAGAGCCAGGACATGACAAAAGATTAGGTAACTTCCTTAATGAAAGTGTTACCTCAGAGATACTGAGTAAATAAAGTATAGTTCATTCAGGCAGATAAAGCCACTGTTTTTGCTTGACTTTATATAGGAAAAATTTTGATTTTTGGATTTGAGAATCTGAGAAAGATATGGTTTCTAAATGAGGTTTGCATTCCTCACTAGTTACGGTTTTCACGAGGGCAGGGTTTGGCACAGGTGCTCAAATATGACACCATTGACGTTTTGGGGCTGGATAGGTCTTTGTTCATGGGAGTGCTGCATTGTACATCGTAGGACGTTTAGCAGCATCCCTGGGCTCGACAGCTAGATGCCAGTTATACCCTCACCATTGTGACAATTGAAAATGTCTCCAGACATCGCCAAATGCCCATGGGGGCATAGTCACCTCTGGTTGAGAACCACCACTCTAGAGGCATTTCTAGGGTGTGGTTCTAGGCGCAGTTGTCTCCTGTTCACAGCAGACAGCTGCTACCTTCTCACTTTCATCTCTGATCAAGGCGTTAACAAGTTCTTGGAGCAACTAATCCGGCCTCAGTTTTCTCTTCTGCTCCAGGCTGTAATAACGCAAGGAAACGTTTGAGATATGTGTTAACAAAGCAGCACATTTCTCATAAAAACGTTGCTATAAGAAACGTCCTTAAGCCCTGGAGATCCTTCTTGGGTGCTGATCACATTGGTTGTAAGCATCGTCAGTGATCCCCTTGGAGTTGTCCGTTGAATTTTGTGTATCTTTTTTTCTCTCTAGGGCTTTACTGTGGTTGTGAGCTCAGTTCCGAATCAGAACCTAGAAATACAGCCCTATGACCTCAGCATTGATATTTATAGCCGCTACATCTACTGGACTTGTGAAGCTACCAATGTCATTAACGTGACCAGATTAGATGGGCGATCAATCGGGCTGGTGCTAAAAGGCGAACAAGACAGACCTCGAGCCATCGTGGTGAACCCAGAGAAAGGGTATGTTAGAAGAGTGGCATTGAACCATCTTGGGATCTGAGACCCTTCTCAACCTTCCTTTTCAGCCCTCTATTTATTTACCTTAAGTTTATTGTGCTCTGTTTACCTACCTCTGCATTTTCTTTGAGCTTTCTTGTACTTCCTCTGTTTCAACTGCCTGGAGTTTTCTTCCTTTGTCACCATTGCGTCTAAATTTTACTCATACCTCCAGCTGTTACTGCTGCCACGTCCTCCGTGCAGTTTTTCTTGGTCTTAACCTCACTCCCAGCTGGATGAGCTCCTCTCCTCTCCTGTACACCCAGCAGTCCATGTCTGCACCTCTCTAGACACACGTAGTCATTTTCAGCTTCCCTTATACTTAACTCTTTTCCAGTCTTATTTCCTACTGGATTTTAGGTACCTTTATGACAAGAATGAATATGTCTTCCTTCATTTGATATAGAGCTTTGCATTTAGTAAATACTAAGTACTCAGTTGCATCAGCATAAATGATGAATTCAGTAGGAAGGAGAATAGCTTACTTCAAAAGAGTTACAAGAAAATGTTGAAATCTGTAAGTTAAACATAATAAATGATTCACACATGACTTATTTTTGATTATTAAATAGGTTAATTGGGAAAGAAATTTAGAATTTTGTGTCCAATTTTTTCTGGCCACTAATCTTTAATTTATTGTAGTGTTATGAAAGTAGATAGGCCTATACCTAACACTCTTCTATTAATCTTTTTTTTTTTTTTTTTGGAGAGGTTTTTGCTATAGGGTGCGTGCTCTTGCCAGAAAGACAGAGAGACAGAGAGACAGAAAGCGAGAAATCACCCTCCCAGGGGGATGGCCATGCCGCAGTCCCTTCTCCTCCATTCTCCTCTCGGGATCTTGGGCATACATGCACACGCGCCCGGCGTGAGTTTAAGCCACCGGGTCCAGGACAAACCATGGTCGACTACATGGGAGTCCAGCAACATAGCCATTACGCTGCTAGTCCCTGTTCTATTAATCTATGAAAGTTCGTTTCCTGAGAACTTCTATGTGTGTAGTCCTTGTTACTGTTATTGAAAGTAGCCAAAGCATACTGTGACCTTATGAAAAAACAGTTCTAGGCCTGCTGTGCTTGTGCCATAGTAATGTAATGCCCGGTGATGCTGAGGTCATACAGGAAGGTCCCAGGCTAGAGTCTCGAAGCTTCTGTGCATACTAGGTGTGTGCACATCCAGGATCCTGGCAGGCTGAGGCTGTGGGTAGGTTCAAGGAGTGAAGGTCCTCTTGGGGTGCTCGCTTTTCTCTGTCTCCCCTTCCCTCCTTGTCTCATGAAAGAAAGAAATAAATCACCTTAATACACACACACACACACACACACATATTTAAAAATAAGATTTAAAAATATTTTTTCATTTCTCTTAATCAGCAAGAATATTCTCATATGGTTTCTCAGGTCAGAAGCTTACTGTTTCCTCCATTCTCTACAGGTATATGTATTTTACCAATCTTCAGGAAAGGTCTCCCAAAATTGAACGGGCTGCTTTGGATGGGACAGAACGGGAAGTCCTCTTTTTTAGTGGCTTAAGTAAACCAATTGCTTTAGCCCTTGACAGCAGGTTGGGCAAGCTCTTTTGGGCTGATTCAGATCTCCGACGAATTGAAAGCAGTGATCTTTCAGGTAACCAAGAAACATGTTTCCTTATTTTGGTTTAAGTTGTTAAGGTGATTCATCAATAGCATTTATATTTTTCTTGAATTGTATTATTTTTATACATGTTTCTTCTCAACTTTATGTACCAAATGAAGCGGGCATCAAATTGGTTGGGAAAGAGCTTTTTCTTTTTTCGACTGTCAACATGATTACTTCCTCTCTTACCTAATTATTTGCCAGTTTCCTTTTCTTGACTCGATAAATAATTTATTTTCTAATTCTCATCACTTCTGGCCCGAATGCTAGCCTAGTTTGGGCTCCTCTTTGCTTGTTATTTTCTGAAGCATAGTTTCTTAAAAAGTCTTCAGGGTAGCTTCATAACCTGTAGGAAAAAGGTCTAGTTGCACTCTTCAATTTTTTTGGAGAGGTTTTTGCTATAGGGTGCGTGCTCTTGCCAGAAAGACAGAGAGACAGAGAGACAGAAAGCGAGAAATCACCCTCCCAGGGGGATGGCCATGCCGCAGTCCCTTCTCCTCCATTCTCCTCTCGGGATCTTGGGCATACATGCACACGCGCCCGGCGTGAGTTTAAGCCACCGGGTCCAGGACAAACCATGGTCGACTACATGGGAGTCCAGCAACATAGCCATTACGCTGCTAGTCCCTGTTCTATTAATCTATGAAAGTTCGTTTCCTGAGAACTTCTATGTGTGTAGTCCTTGTTACTGTTATTGAAAGTAGCCAAAGCATACTGTGACCTTATGAAAAAACAGTTCTAGGCCTGCTGTGCTTGTGCCATAGTAATGTAATGCCCGGTGATGCTGAGGTCATACAGGAAGGTCCCAGGCTAGAGTCTCGAAGCTTCTGTGCATACTAGGTGTGTGCACATCCAGGATCCTGGCAGGCTGAGGCTGTGGGTAGGTTCAAGGAGTGAAGGTCCTCTTGGGGTGCTCGCTTTTCTCTGTCTCCCCTTCCCTCCTTGTCTCATGAAAGAAAGAAATAAATCACCTTAATACACACACACACACACACACACATATTTAAAAATAAGATTTAAAAATATTTTTTCATTTCTCTTAATCAGCAAGAATATTCTCATATGGTTTCTCAGGTCAGAAGCTTACTGTTTCCTCCATTCTCTACAGGTATATGTATTTTACCAATCTTCAGGAAAGGTCTCCCAAAATTGAACGGGCTGCTTTGGATGGGACAGAACGGGAAGTCCTCTTTTTTAGTGGCTTAAGTAAACCAATTGCTTTAGCCCTTGACAGCAGGTTGGGCAAGCTCTTTTGGGCTGATTCAGATCTCCGACGAATTGAAAGCAGTGATCTTTCAGGTAACCAAGAAACATGTTTCCTTATTTTGGTTTAAGTTGTTAAGGTGATTCATCAATAGCATTTATATTTTTCTTGAATTGTATTATTTTTATACATGTTTCTTCTCAACTTTATGTACCAAATGAAGCGGGCATCAAATTGGTTGGGAAAGAGCTTTTTCTTTTTTCGACTGTCAACATGATTACTTCCTCTCTTACCTAATTATTTGCCAGTTTCCTTTTCTTGACTCGATAAATAATTTATTTTCTAATTCTCATCACTTCTGGCCCGAATGCTAGCCTAGTTTGGGCTCCTCTTTGCTTGTTATTTTCTGAAGCATAGTTTCTTAAAAAGTCTTCAGGGTAGCTTCATAACCTGTAGGAAAAAGGTCTAGTTGCACTCTTCAAGTTGGCATAAGTTGGTATTTGCCTTTCTCAAACTCATCACGACCTTTGCATTGCTGGTACTTTAACCTAATTAAATCATTCATTGACCCTATATTTTTACTTTCGCATTTCTCTGCATTCAGTCCTCGGCTGATAATCACAGTTGCCTTCCCAACCCCTAATTGCTGATGTCCACATACCCTGTGTAGACTCACTAGTGGCCAGGGACATGAAATTAACATAGTACATTTTTTTAGAGGCTAGCAGGTGGCTTAGTGGTTAAAGTGCTGGATTCCTTCTTAGTTGACTACAGTTTGTAACACTGGACTTGGTGGCGTGAAACTCATGCCAGGCACTTGTGCCCAAAATCCTGAGAGGAAAAGGGATTGTGGCATAGCCATCCTGCTCCTGGGGAGTGATTTCTTGCTTTTTGACTGTCTCTGTCTCTATAGGAAATACACATGACCTGTAGCAAAATCCTTCTCAAAAAAAAAAATAAATAAAACAAACATTGTTTATGTACATTAGAGTGGCGAAAATACGTTCAAGTTGATTATGCCTAACATTGGCCAGGGTGGTGGGAAATGGCATGCTATCATGTGCTTTGGTGGAAGTGGAAGTTGGTAGAACTTCTACGGAGAGCCATTTGCCAGTAGTTATCAAAATTTTAAATATGATGGGAACCAGCAGTTAGCGTAATGGCTATGTCGCTGGACTCCCACGTAGTCAACCGCGGTTCGTGTCCCGGACCCGGTGGCTTAAATCTCACGCCGGGCGCGAGTGCGTGCGTGCCCAAGATCCCGAGAGGAGAATGGAGGAGAAGGGATTGCGGCGTGACCATCCCCCCTGGGGGGTGATTTCTCGCTTTCTGTCTCTATGTCTCTCTCTGTCTGTCTGGCGAGCGCACGCGCCCTACAGTGAAAAGCTCTCTAAAAAAAAAAAAAAAAAAAATTTAAATATGTTTTCCCTTTGATCTGTTAGTTTCCATTTTAGATGGTTGTCTTGCAGAAATACCACTCCAGATGTACAAGGGTATCCACTGAGCAATATTACTGATAAATCTCTTAATAGAGAAATATATTCTAGTATATTAATGTAAGGAATGGTATGCCCTTTAGAAGAATATGGTAGATCTGCATACACCGACAGGGGATGACTTTTTAGGTTTTCGCCATAGGGTGTGTACACTTGCTGGAAAGAGAGAGAGACAGAGAGAAAGTGAGAAATCACCCCCCCAGGAAGATGGCCATGCCACAATCTTCTTGGGATTTTGAGTGCAAGTTTCCAGCATGATTTTCAAGCCATTGGGTCCAGGACTCAAACTGCAGTCGGCCGCATGGGAGTCCAGCACCTTAATCATCACACCACCTGCTGGCCTCAACATAGAAAGTTTTTTAAAATTTAAGTTGCATTGGGCTGACTGTGACACAATAGCAAATTGTAACACTGAGGCTGATCTACATGGGAAGGTTCTGAGTTCGCTTCCAGAGACCTCCCTGAGCATGTCAGGTGCACATGTGCTTATGGTCTGGGGCAGGCTGAAGCAGAGGGCGAATTGTGGCATCAAACCCAGTTGAGGGGACCAGATGGTGGTGCATTGGTAAGCACTGTGCTCTCTGAGGCTGACCCACACTGGAAGGCTCTAGGTGCATATCTGGAGACCTCCCTGGGTAAGCCAGGCATGCATGTGCCCATGATTCCAGGCTGGCTCGGATGGATTGTAGTGTTGAAACTCTGTTGGGAGTGCTGTCTGTCTTTCTAGGTAATGGAAGAAATAAACAAAAATAAAATAGTAAAAATTAGGTTGCATAATAGTGTTGAATAAGATCCTCTTTTCTTTACAATTTTAAATTATATGGTATATACGCTACACACACACTGCATATATACTTTTTTTGGCTAAAGGAGAGCGTTTTATTATTTGTATGTATGTATAGAAAACTCAACAGTGCACATTCAACCCTGTTTGTTGGTGACCTTTTTTTTTAGCCTTTGCCTTTTCCAGTTTGGCAATGCCAGCCTCTTATTTTGGGCCCAAGACATTGCCTCCCCAGTGACAGTGGATCTCGTTGCATCTGTCTTTGTAACTGGTCCTGATGGCTTCCTCCAGCTTAGCCAGGATGCCTTTGTCCTCTGAGTTAACCTGTGCAAAGGTGATGGTGATGCAGGTTTCCCTGCGGACCAGACGTCCCAGCCTGGCCTTCCCCTAGATAATGCATAGGGAACTCCCGTCTTCCGACACAGAGCAGGCAGGAAGACGCCAGCTCCATGGAGTTCACATCCTGTGCAGTCACCACCCGCTGAGCCTTCTTGTTCTCCACCAAGGTGGTGACAGTGTTGACCATGCTTGGAGGACCGGCAGCCTCTTCGTGGGGGCATCCCCTTTGCCGACAGCTTTCTTCTCAGCCCAGCCCAGCAGTCTCGGCTGCTTCTCTTATTTCGTCTCTGGCCTGTACTTGTGGACCAGCTTAAGCAGCTGAATAGCTGTCTGGCGGTCCAGGGTCTGGGTGAACTGGGCCATCACAGGCGGCACTTTCAGCTGCTTGCAGAGGATGGCCCTCTGCTGCTGCAGCCAGATGTAGCAAGGCCATTTGATGAAGCAGGTGAGGTGCCTTTTGGGCTGGATGTCCCGTCCTTACCAAAATTCTAAGGCCTTTTCTCAAACAGGGAATTGACCACCACCTTAGCCTCCTGCTGCTTCACAAAAGTAGGGCTAGAGCCTCCTCCTTCCCCTTGACCTTATTTCCCTTTGGCAACTTGGGCAATTAGAGGAGAGAGCTACACCACACATATACTATTAAGAAATGTGGGAACTAGCTCTGTAGTGCGGTGGTTAAGCACACAAAAGAAGCTGAATCCTTTGACCAGCGTTCGAGCCCCGGCCCCGGAGGCTTCAACAACATGCTGGGCATCCACATGTGTGAACAAGATCCTTATAATATAGAGTTGGAGGAAAGCAGATTGTGCTATGACCAGGCTGCATTGGGAGATTTTGTCTCTCTTTATCTTGTGCATATGCAGGCATCCTCTGACGTAAAATAAAATAAAAGAAACATGGACATATATGTCTGTTTCTCAAGAAACAGATACAACCTATGAAAGGTCTGGAATGTTAGCATAGTGAAATGTTAAGAGTACTTATTCCTGTATCTATATTTTTTTAGAGAATTATTTTATTTAACTTTTATTTATTTTGATTTGAACAGAGAAGGGAGGGGAG